AAAAATTTATTTTTTTTTTTCTTTAATTTAATTTTTTTCTTTCGAAATTTGATGAGGTGGAAAATTGAGTTTTTATTATTTTATGAGGTTTAAATTAATTTATTATAAATGAATACTTATATAATAATTATTTATCATATAATATGCAAGTTTTAACAGTTATATAAGATGGTAAATTAGAAGTAGAAAAAAATTTAATCTATATTAAATTTGGATTGCATTGGATAAAGTTAACAAAAAAATAGGTTAATCAAGCATTGAAGATTTTCTTTTATAAATATTTTTGAATCCCTTCCAAAAACATATCTTTTGAAGTTTTTATCTTCATTGGAACGGAAGTTATAAGCAAAAAAAAGTAGGTATTTTAAAATTTCTCCAAATTTTTCAAATTAACTACGAAACGGTTCCGATTTGACAATATGTTCCGAACAAAAAATTTTAATCATTTTCGACTATTCATCCAATGGCATATAGTTCATAACTTGTTGCTGAATCACCCTGTACATATGTACATATAATTATTTTCAAAGTATTAGATATAAAAAAGTTGTCAAAATTTTGTTATACGTGCACTTTTTTAAAATTAAATATTTTAAATCAATCCCTCTGCGTATACTGCAAATGCACTATATATTCATTCAATTGCAATTATCAAGACTATAAAAATTAAAAAAACTGAAATATTGAAAGATTTATTGGATAAAGTCATGAAATTATTATAAGCTTTGTATAAGTTTCCTTCACTTTTTATACAATACAAATTTGACAAAAATGCAATAGAGTATAGAGGAGGAATTCGTACTCGTATTTGTAGGTTTTACCAAATCAAATCTTGTATATTTAAAGCTTCAATTAAAACTATACTTACGAGTAGAACCATACTTAATGTTGTAGAACTGAAAAAAATGAACATATTCTAAAAACATTAGTTATTGAAAGTTTAATACATTAGTGTCATATAGAACATTTGTTGATCATATTTTTATATCACATTACAATCGTTATGCCTTATTAATTTAAAATTATATAACAGAATTGAAAATAGAACCTGAGACATAGGCAAAATTCTAATTACAAATAATTAGTTACATATTCTTATATATAAGCAAATTTTGAGAATATTCTTTAGGAATCAAGAGCATATAGCACATTTCATTTCTAGCTACTTTAATAAATTGAAAACGTATCCAATGAGAAAACGTGAATTCAATATTTGTCCTGAGACAAATGAGTACTATAAGAATCCTGAGCAAATAAGTTTGAGTTTATTGATCAATTCATTGAATTTACAATTTAAGTTTACAATACCTGCATTTTGGATTTCTCAAATTTTACCTAAAATAGTGAAATTTATAAATATTTTAAAATGTAAAAGATATTTACCTTTAAAATTTTTTTCCTTAATTTTTTAAGGCATAATGTAAGTGCCGTGTTGTTACAAAATTAATAGCCAATATTATAATTCAAAATCCTATTCAAATGTTTTCATAATTTAGAATAAAAGCGCTTATTTTTAAAATTTGTGCAAATTTTATTTTTATTGTCATAAATTTATTATTAAAATTCAGATTGTGTGCATGTGCTCATGTACCGTACTGTGAAAAACTTTCATAATTTTGTAAAATTTAATGCCGGCTTTTATTTAAAATTTAATCATTATTGGAAATAAAAAAATAACAAAAAAAATAATATAAAAATCTGATTAGAATGAAATTTAAATGGAAATAACAAAGTTAATTTATTTACACATATTCAAAATGCATAAGTACTCAAAGTCCTCTTACTTTGTAATGCCAGTTTCCAATTTGATTCAAATGAATGAAATGGAAATAAAAAAAAATAAATCACAAAAAAAAAATATATATATTTTTTTTATTCTTGTTTTCTAACTGTTTGAATTGATGTTCTTTTGAAACCTTTGGGGCAATTGGCACACGCACCCACTACTAAAAAATAAAAATAAAAAAATTAAAATAACATTCGGATAAGCCGTACATAAAAATTTATTTTGTATTTGTAAACATACCATTCAACTTAAACCTTTTCTTTTTAAAATACCATGTTTAACCATTCACTACTCACCACACCAAATATAAATATGAGTTTCAATAAAATGGGAATATAAGAAAATAAAAGAAAGAGTACAAATTAAGTAAAAATGAAAAGAAAAATAATAATGTTATTGAAGAACAACACTTGAAGCAAGCCGGTTTATTAGCGAGTGAGAAAGAAGAAAAGAATTTCAATAAAAAAAAAACAAAAAACACAAAAACTTAAATATGAAGTTCATAATTCTTTGAATGCTCTTTGAATGGGTCGAAGTCGAATTTGAATTGGCATTATTTTAAATGTATTTTTAACAATTGTCTAAAAAAAATTTTGAAAAAATTTGTTTATTAGTACTCTGTCCGCCCTTTCGTCCATTTGTCTGTTTACAAAGCTAATATTTGATACTATATAAATACTAAAAACCTATATTTCTATAAAAGAAAATTTTCACTTATCTCCCCCCCTCTCCCTAACACCATCTAAAAGTTGTTAACCTTCAAATTTCTTAAAACCCTCATTTTTTAATTGTTTATTGAAACGAAGCCACAAATTGTTTTTAAATTCTGCGAACGCAAAAAATCAGTGGCAAGTCTTCTTCAACCGCGTCATGATATGTAGTTGTGCATGGAAATGATAAATCTAAAACCTGTGTTTTTCAAGTTTTTTGGTATCGTTTTTTCTCTCGGTCGATAAGTTGTTGAAGCCTGAAATTTAAAAATTTTTATTAATAAATAATTTATTTTATTAGAAGAAATTTTCCACTTTCATTCCCTTTCCAGATATCGCCTCCCGAAATTTGTAAAATTTGAATTTTCGGTTCCTTATATTTCCCAAAATGCAAGTTTTTCCAAATTTCTATACATGCAGAAAGTTAACCGTACTCGTATATGCCATGCCATCAAAAAGCATAATTACTTTTCTTAACTCAAACAACTAACCTATAGATTTGATGCTTCGATATTAACACTTCATTCAATTTCCTTTTTTTTTTGTTGTCTCATCCCAAATGTATGCAAATATTTGAAATATTTTGATAGCATTTTCATTTGTTCAAGGGAAAAGTGCTAGATTACAAATTATTGGTTTAATACAAATTTATTTTCTTCCTTCTTTGTTCATAAATGTTGCTACATTTATATTGAATTGCAACAATTTAAATATAGCAATATAGAATTGAAGATTTTATATAAATTTTTTGTATGTTCTTAAATATTTTTATGTTCTACATTTAATAAGATATTAAAGTATTTCGCAAACTTTAAATATACACGAAATATTATAAACTTACTCAAAGGTTCTGTTCCAAGTAACACTGTCGTAAAAAGTGAAAGAACGTTTTGAGTAAATCAAAATTAATGTTTAAAAAACACTATTGTAGCTTTACACTCTTTTCTTTATAATGCTAGAATTTTATGTAACGTAATACTCATATGGTTACTCTTAAAGTAAGACTACATGGAAACTTGGATTTCTCTCAACATAATCTATTGATAACTCTTGTATAGGGTGCTGTAATTTGTATATGTTTGGTTTTAAATTTAGTTCTTCTAGAGAATTTTTTAAATGGCTAGCTCTAGTTTTTAAATACTAATCTTTTATTACGTTAACAATGGTCTAATAGGCTAGGATTTGGTCTAATATGATATCCTAATGATGTTGTTAATAATGATTTCAAAAAGATTATTGCTGCTTGGACAGTTAGTGCCTAGTACGAATAAATGATGTTTCTTTTTGTTTTTTGCATATTATTGAATACATGATCACATAGCACGTGTCTGATAATTATAATAATTTCGAAATTAAATTAAGCTACATTAAGAATGAAAAGTTTTCAAAAGTCGATTTAAGCAATTGTGAACTGTAGCTGAACAAATTCACAGTCGAATTATTATGTAAAGTGTTTTGAAAATTTAAAAAATCCTTTAGTATTACCGCTTACGTTCTTATTTCGGACAGTCTAACAATTGTCAAATTTATGTTTAAATAAATAAGGTAATACTTGTAATTTTATGAGACTGTCACTTGTAATCACTACGTTAGTAAAATATTAATGAGATATTTTGAGGATTACTGATAAGAGAACATTTCGGTATATTTAAAATTTTTTTAACACCGTTAATCTTTATGAGTTTTTGAGTATAGTTTTTGCTTTTTATGAATTATTTTCTCTTATTTATTCATTTAAATTTTTATTTTTTCATAAATATTATTCTGGTTAACGTTTTTTAATGTGCCATCACAAATTCCTATTTATTAGTGATATACAAAATAAAAAAAATATATTTTAAATTGACTTTTATTTTGCACTTTTTTAACTTGATTTAATTCAGAACAATAAAAAAAAAAAGAGAAATAAAAATTTGCGACAATATTAAAAATCTCGCAATAAGAAAACCATTGCACTTTGCTATACGGAACATGGCGAGTGTTTAAGCTATCTTTTATATTACAAACCGCAATATAAGAGCGTATAAGCAACGTAAAATATACTTAATCTAAAAACACCTACACAAGATATTGTTAATCGTAAATAAAATAATTTCTAACATTTGATGTTACAAAGCTTTGTAGGTAAACCTACCAAAATCCTTTCGGGGATTTTAATGCCTGGCAATGAATATTTCATTTTTCAAAATCATTTTTTAATTAATACAACATGAAAATTGTACTCGTATTGAATGGATTGGAAAGAAATAAGAGAAAATAATAGGAAAAATATTTAAAAATTCCAACACAATTTTATATTTGTAGTAGAATGTTACGCCTTTAAATTTAACACTCGTAAGCATTCTGATATTACATGCATCTACATATATATTTATCTTTTTTAATTATATAGTCTAAATGAAATTTAATGTTTCCGATATATTTTGATTAATAAACTTTAAATATCTTATACAAATCACAAGCTTATTACAACATCACCTAATTTTGATTTTTCATTTTTTCAGTGTTTACATGGGGAAGAAAAATGAGTAAAAAACTTGATATACTAAAACGTGGTGATCTTTTAAAAAGTTTCGATCATAATAATACAGATCAATCGATGACCTCATTAATAATTGGTAAATCATGTACATTAACAAGATCATCAACAATAAATCCATTAAAAAAGAGTAAATCTGGACCAATTGATGCTCAAACAAAAGATTCAACATCAATTTCAAATAAATCAGCAACATTAACAAGGGATAGACAAAATTCAATTAAATCATTTTTTCATCGGATCGGTTCTACTGGCATGCTAAATCATAAATCACATAATATTACAAAAATATCTGATACAAATAATTTATATCGTAGTAGTTCAACAAGTCAACTAAATAGCAGCTATTATAAATGTGATGATCCAACTGATGGTGTTAATTTAATTAATAATAATAAACAACCACCTATTATAAATTCTAATACAAAAAAAGTACATCATTTAAAATCATCAAGCTGTGATGATATTGCAAAAGTTGGTAATTATATTACCAATAATAATAATAATAATAATAATAATAATAATAATAATAATAATAATAATAATAGCAATAATAATAATGGTAATGGTAATGATCAACAACCAAGACGTGGTAATTTTCCGTATGCATTTTTAAGATCAAAATTATCAGTACTACCAGAAGAAAATGGTGGTTCAGTTCTAAAACAACAATCATATACAAATTTAGATCGAATTTGTGATTCATCAAATACATCTGATACAATATCGATAGCTAGCTCAACCAGTCCAAAAGCTTCTAGTACATCGAAAATTACAAATTATTCAAATAAGAATGGTGTAATTAAACGTTATTCATCTGATGATAGTGCTATTAGTAATTGTTCACCATTAATTGGTGATGTATCACGAAATAGTAGTATATCATCAAAAGATTGGGAACCATTCTATCATCGTTTAAGTTCATGTATTAGCTCAAATGAATCTGGATATGATAGTGATAATGGTCGTCATTGCGATGAACCATTAAAAAGGAATAGTATTGTATCAAATTCAATTCGTTTATTTGAGGAAAATTTGATACAAGAAAAATTACAACAACAACACCAACAACAAAGATCAAATAATGAAACTGGAACAGTTCGAAGAAGATTTAAAGAAATTAAATTAATTAAATTGGATTCGTGTGATTTCATTGGAATAATTGTGTCACCCAAAATAATAGTAAATACATCAAATGAACAACAATATCGATATGTTATAATTGAACTTAATCCATTTGGATTAGCGCAAAGGTATAAAAAAAAATATTTTAATAATAATTTATTCTTTTTCATTTTATATTATTTTAGGGATGGGAGATTAAGAATAGGAGATGAAATTGTATATGTTAATGGAAATTATTTACGTGCAATGAAATGTTTTGATACAGCCCAAAAACTTTTAACAACATTCATTGATAATAGTATGGATTTAGTTATATCACATGAAGAAATCTCATTATCTAATAGTGCAGGAATAAATTTTAGTACAAAAATACAAATTGATTGTGATCGCAATACACCAACAAAACAATTTAGAAATTCACCAGAGCCATCACAACAAAATTTATATTATTCTTCAAATTCAAATAATAACTATAATAGCAAAATATGTGAAAGTAATGGTGTTATTAGAAAACGTCTATCATATAACCAAAGAACACATAGTAATGATAGTATAAACAGTTTTGATTTAAGTGGTTTACAAATTGCCTACGATAATGAAAGCTTAAATCATTTACAAACTGATAATGAATCTGTAAAACATATGAGTTTAATGTTACAATCACATCAATATGATCATAGAAGACGTCCAATAACAAATCGTCAATTAGAATTAACACCATTATATAATAGTACGTCATCTGAATATACACCTGTTTATGCTAATAGAATAACAACTCTAACAAATACGATAAGTGATGATGAAAAATGGCAATTACTTAGTCGTAAAAGAACTGAAGCTTTAACACAAATGGAATATTCACAAGTTTTAGGTTCAAAAAATTTAACATATTTAAATGAAAATAATAGTAAATCAGCAATTGATTTAAGTACATTACCTAAAAATTGTCAATCACCATCGCCATCATCATCATCATCATCGTCAACATCGACAACAAAACAAACAAATTCAAATTTAACACTAACTAATGAAAACAATGCCATAAATTTAAATGCTACTAATAATATTAATAATAGTAATAACAATTGTAATTTAAGTAATTTAAATTTAAATTCTCATTCAATTCAACAATATTCTACTAGCAGTAACGACGATAATAATAATAATAATAATATAAAGACAAATATCAAAAATAATTATACAAATTTCAACAGCAATAGTAATGCATATCGATCATTAAGATTAGGAAACTTTCGTTTGAGTTCCTGTAGTTTGAATTCAAGTCGTTTAAGTTTATGTTCACAAAATGCTACTGATTTTTCATTAATTGATCAAGGAATCAATAATCGAAATGATTCCATTACATCAATGACATCAAGATTAGCAACAGTTTCACCTACACCAACAATATTATTAACTAAAACTAATAATGATAATATTATAATTGGATCAGATCAATGCTTAAATAATGAAACTAATACGAATAATATTAATAATAAGAATATTAAAGAAAATAATAAAATTATTAATAATTTTAATCAAGAAAAACAATTAAAATTATGTAATAAAACTAATAATGTTTTCAATAATGCCAATAACAACAATAACAACAGCAATGTTAATAAACAATTATTGAATGATAATAATAATGAAGCATATAATCAAATAGTAAATGGTATCAGCTGCGATTTAAATGCTAACAATAGCTTAAAAATTACTAAAGAAAATGGCGTTCACGACACTACTGAACAAGATGGTAGGTTAATTTTAATAAAAGTGGAAAGTATTATTTAACTATAAATATATTTAACTCAAAAGTAAATTCTAAAAGTACAAAATATTTGTTGCAATTAATCATAGCTATAAATTGTTTATTTTACACACAATTTAATTATTTAACATACAAGTATACTAAATATTATATTTCGCTATAATAAAAATACCAAAAATTTTTATAATTTCTATAAAGCGAAATAGAAATTAGGATTTAAAAATATAAAGTAATTTTTAAAAAAAAAAAACTAAAATTCACAAAACATTTTATTAAAATACTATATAGAATTATTTTAAAAATATTATATTTGTAGGACTGGGACGATGTATAGTACAGACAATTACATTTTTCAAAGGACATGGTATGAAGTCATTAGGTTTTAGTATTGTTGGTGGGCGGGACTCTCCGAAAGGTATGATGGGCATTTTTGTGAAAACGGTTTTTCCATCTGGACAAGCATCTGATGACGGAAATCTTTTAGCTGGTTTGTTTTACTTAAAAAAAAAATAACTTATATTTTATAATTTAATTAAATTTTTATTTAATATTTTCATGAATTGCGTTTATAACAAAATCGATATATTATAGGAGATGAAATTATACAAATAAATAACATATCAGTTCAAGGAATGAGTCATGCAGATACTATTGGTTTATTTAAAAATGTTCGTGAAGGCCCAATAATTTTAAAAATTTTAAGGCGAAGGTAGATTAAGATTCTATAATTCGAGTTGTGTACCTATATTTAATTTTTACTTTTTAATTCTAGATCTTACAAACCAAAGCTGTCAGGAACATAACATACCATTTTAGCGAATACAAAATATTTTTTTTTAATAATATTACTTATTAAAAAACTAATAATTATATACATATGTACCAATATATTTATTAATATTTTATATAAATAAATATACTGTTTTTTTTATTCTTGTAAAATCAAATTTTCTTTGTACATAACTATAAAAAAAATTATATCAGTTTTTAATTCTAGATTATAAAAAATTGTAGCAGAAAATTTCAATAACAAATAATAGTAACATAATAAGTCTAATTAATATTAATATATACTTCATATGATTTGAATTTTATTTAGTAATAAAATAATAATTTTATTAATTTTATTATTCGTATAAAACTAAAAATTATATTTTAATAAAATTAGAAATTAATTTAAAGAAAAACTATTCAATTGAATTTGTTTTATTTTCTGTGGTGATTAAACGTTGCTTTTTAACGTAATGTTCCACACGATTTTCTAGACTCTCTAAATTTAATGTAAATTTGAAAAATTAAAATAGTAAAATAGTTTACAATAGCACAAAAATTAAATTTTACTTACCACATCGTTTTCTATTCATAATTTTTTGATATTGTTTTTGTTTAACACCTTGTTGTAAATTTTTTGCTTGAAAATTTATTGCTTCAGAACCGAAATTTCTTTTATAAGCACTCTCTAAATCTTGTAACATTTCATTAATCATAGTGGCTCTTAAAAAATTTAATTGGAATATTAAATAAAATTCCTTGTTTTAATATAAAAAAATACTTTATGCTAACAATACTCCACTCCGACTGTATAGTTTGTATCAATCTAGTTAAATTTTCTTTATTATAAATCCATTGTGCAGTGGAAAGTTCCTCTGTGTCGCTCGATTCATTAATGAGACTTTTTTCCGAAGAATCACTAACTATAGTATTTTCATTAATTTTTTTATTTAAACCATTTACATCGAATTCACAATTATATAAATTGAGAGGTATTCCACTTGCCACACCATACTGTGGTTTACTAAAATAATATTGAGAAAAATAATATGTACATTAATAAGAATTTTATTAATTCTTTTCTTTACCAAGGATTTTTTTCAATATCTAATAATTCTGAAATAACTGAAGGGTCTTCATTTTTTTCACCTATTAACATTAAAATTGACATAATACAACGTATTTGATGCCATAAAAAAGCTTTTCCTGTAATTTTTAAATAGTACATGCTATATCCTGTATCTTTTTTATGTTCCGATTGACAAGCATGTATGTCTGCATATTTAATTGACCGAACAAAATTAACAACTCCATTCCCTACATCCATTTTGCACAAATTTCTAAAATCATGTACTCCAACCAAAAATTTACATCCTGAACGCATTCTCTATTTAAAAGTAAGGAAAAACCTTACAATAATATTAAGGTACTAAGCTAAATTCATTTATTATTTTACCTCAATATCAAGATCACCTTTTGGAAAAAAATATTTGTACGTTCTTTCATAACAATCGAATCTAGCACTAAAATGTTTATTTTTTAATGGCATCCATGAAATGCATTTAATATTATTTGGAAGTACTCTAAAATAGTTGACAATTTTGTATTTCAATATATTAGTATGCTTAAAATTTTATCTAAAATTATTATATTACCTGTTTAACATATTACAATAGTCGATTTCATGTTCTAAGCTCTCTTTAGTCATTTGTTCCTCCTCTGGAAATTTGCTCCTTAAATCAATTGAAATCACTAACATAAACAATAAATATGATGTTATTGTTTTCGATTTTTCGCATTTACTTAAATTCACTTACCAACCTTGGCAAAAAGCACTAACTTCCTTGTCTGTGCGTCCACATCTATTGTAATTTGAAGTTTCACGATTTTCAATTAAGCATGTTTTTATCAACGCTCTAAATAAATGAAATTCTATTGTTGCAGTAGTATCTTCTTGACTGGCGAACCCTTGGTAATCCCAACCAAAATATAAAAATTTTAGCAAAACATGCCTTTTATAGGATCTTTAAAAAATTGCTTCTTCATAATTTTACGGCTTCTAGAATTCAAAATGGTAAAACTTACTTGTTAAAATCAAATTTCCTATTATTTTTCTCGTTTAAGAATTTTGTTTGGTTGGTTTTTTCAATTATATTTTTTAATTGAGAATTGTGTGCTCGTAATTGCACGATTTTTTCAATTAATTCACATTTTGACAATTTATTCAAATCGTCTTCTAACATTTTTACTTTTTTGTTTACTTGATAAAATTTTTTCTCCTCCATAATTTTATTCTTAAGAACAATGCCTTATTAATTAAACTTTGTTAAAAACTTGATTTTAATAAAATTTTACAATTTAATATATTTGTTTATATTGTCACAAAAAATGCGGAATGATTGCTGTCAAAATTTAATGCCAAAAGAAATATGACAGAAGTATGGATGTAGAAAGCACGTAAGCACTGAATAAAAAAACAACCCATGTCTTTCAAAAATTAATTTTTATTTTTATAAATTTTAAATGAAATTTTCATTTAATTCTACAAAAAGTTTAGGATTTAAGTTAAATAAAATATAAAATCTGCCGCTGTATACATGTATATGGTGATTAATTGAATTTTTGTGAGAAAGTGTTTTAGTACTTCAGGATAAATTTTGTGCTAAAAATTTGTACTACATATGTGATGTGAAATATATTTTTGCAAACGGCAATATTGTTCGAGTATCGTTTTTCATTATTATATTTTAAATTTTTAACTTTATAATATATTCACAATAGTTTTTTATGTGTTGCTTTGCTATTTACAGCTACTTTCAAAGAATTTCTATTTTTTCAAAAAGATAGAAAATAATCCGAAATTAATATTTAAATATAATTTAGAATAAAAATACATTGAGTGTATATTAATTGTAATAGCTATAAAAATTTCCTAAGCTTTGTGTGTAGAATATAATAAAGCAATTTTTTTTGCAAATATAATGTTAAGTTTGAAAAAATGTGAAAATAATATGCTGTTAAGTTCAATAAAAAATTTACATTTTCCACAAATAGAATTAGACATTAAATCAAGAAGTAAAACTGGAATTAGTGCGATTGTGGACATTAAATAAATAAAAATTAATAAGTTTTCAATTTTTAATAAAGCCTTCCATTAAAATGTCGGACTATGTAAGCAGAGGTTTTAAAACAAAAAAAAAAGAAATAAATGCGCCTACTTATGTATGTATGGGAGCATCAATTCTATTTTATAAAATTCCGCCTTAAAAGCAAGCATATGTTCGCATTATATTGTAACTCAGCATTTTTTTAACGGTACTTCACAAAAAATAAGTAATGCTAAAGAGAATTTCGATTTAACTGTTACTACTAAAATGCAATCATGGTTTTTTCTTTGTGATTTACGTACATATGTATGTACATACATAAATGCAGTCATAAAAACGCAATTACTTATATTTAAAAGAAAAGAATGAGTGTTTATGGAATTGAAGCTGTAGTCAGGTAGGTGCCTAAGTAAATATGTAATATGTATTTTAATTTAATAATAAAATACTTTTCAATGTTAGTAGTTATTTGAGCCATATGCGATTTTTAACATTCCAGAACTTTTTTGTCTGTTTACCTGTTTTGTGTTGAAATTCTTGAAGCAAGGATCTTTTCAAAACAAGGTAAAACCAAAAATGTTAATAACTTTTAATAATTATTACTTATGCTCTTCATTCTTCTCCAGCCAGGTAAAAACGATTTCGGGAATTTTTGTAATTAAATAAAATTTCGTTACAAATAAATTGTTTATAAAAGGTTTACAGTTTTGCAAAAATATATTTAGTGTTTTTCACAGTGTTAAGTATAAAGGTTCTATTGTGATTAAAATAAAAAAAATAAAATATGGAAAATTTGCAAATAATATTAATAACGCTTACATTAATATTAATAAAAAATTCATTTTCAATATACCAAAAAAATCAATTTGAAAATTTACCAATGGCATATTATGGAAATAATATTGACTTTGGTAAAGAAAATGCTTACAATATAAGACATCAGCCGCAACAAAATTATGAATTTGAAAAGTATAATCATTATAATAAACCATGGAATTATGTGGTCACAAAATATATAAACATGGGCCCACAAAAGAGTAAGTTTTTGAACTAATATATGAATGTGTGTATCTGCTTGAAAGGCTTAGAACTCAATAAATTAAAAATAATTCAATTTTTTTACAAGTTCAGTTCAGACTGTACTTAACATAAATAGAGACATAATACTCAGGTAGCATTTAATACTTAATAAAAAGTCTAGACTAATTTTTTAAACGCTTTTTAATTGCGGAAGTAATATGAAAGATATACCTTTATTATAGAATATACACCAAATTTGCCATCCGAATATCGACAGTCTTTACCCAAGAAGCGTGATAAAAAAGTCAAAAATAAAAAAATGAAAAAACAAGTATCAATGTATACACCTCCAATACTCTATTTCAAAATTTCCAAAAAAGATATCCTACATTGGAATAAATATTATGGACAAATGGAAGAACACAAGAAACCAGGCTATAAGCAGAAAAAGAAAAAACTGATAAGTAAAAAACCTGAAGAAGTAATTAAATACCCAGGCTTTAAATATCCACCAAAGAAGCCAGTTAAACATTATTATCAAGGACCCAACAAAGAAATGATAGCAGTGCAATTTATTGATCATAAAAATCATGAAGAAAATAGTTATTTAGCAGGAGAACATTATGAATATGAAGAGGAGGAAATGCATGAAGAACATGAGTTTGGAGGAGACGAATATGAAGAGACAGAATATGGAGGAGAAGATGAAGAAGGTGAAGGTGGAGAAGATGAAGGTGGAGAAGATGAAGGTGGAGAAGATGAAGGTGGAGATGAAGATGGTGAAGTTGAAGGAGATGAGGAAGATGAAAAAGAAGAAGAGGAAGACAGCAGTGAAGAAAGTAGTGAAGAAAGCAGCGAAGAAGAAAATGAGGATGAAGAAGGAGAAGAAGAGGGTGAAGAAGAGGAAGACGAGGAAGAGGAGAGACCAGGAGGGATTAGAGAATGGTTTCAAAGAATTCCTACTAGGAATTTTTCAAATCTATTTTCGCTTCCCGTTTTCGGTGGCAGAAGTTTTCGAATACTCAACGATGATGCAAAAGTGTCAAATTTTAATGATTTTAATGATGATTATGAAAACTACAGAAGTATAGACCACAACAAGAAGACGTACAATTCAATTAAAAAAGGAAAAGATTCTGGATTTGAACATATAAAACAATCTGAACGACAAATCCAAAGTAAATTACATCAAAATAATTTTGGAACTAATAAATATTTGAATCCATTGAAAATTGGTTTAGTTGATTGGAAAACAGATTTTGATATTGATCCATCAGAATCTGGTGCTGAGATTTTGCAAATACCTGATGAAACAGTCAGATTATTTGAGATCGAACTTGAAGAGGCTGATGATAATTTTAAAAGCCAAGAAACAGATTACGAAATTTTGGATGAAGTACACAACATAAATAATGAATTATTAAGGGAAAACGGTACAGATAAGGAAGAAGAAAAGAAGGGAATGAATAATTTAGCTCGTTCCCATTTTAAAATTTATAATTGTACCACAATAAATAATATAAAAGAAAAGGAGCAATTAAAGGGCATCAACTTAAATTTTCTAAAACACACAACGAGTGAAGCACCAATATTAGTGGACGTAATCGATTTGAACAATTTTCCAAAACAGAAAGGTAAGTTCCTATTAATTCATACATAATATATTGTATATATTATAAATACATTTAAAGTTTATATACAAAATTTTTCTAATTTTTCAGAGGAAGAATCGAAGGAGGATATATCTCAAGAAATTTCTTTAACAAGTTCTGAAACCAGTAAAGAATCACCAGAAATTATTGATTTAAAAGAAAAAAATGTTCTTTCATTTGATGAACATTCTTTCAATTGGCGTCCTTCATTTGATAAAAATGAAAACATTATGATAAAAGTAGTTGACGAAGAAAACAATGGTCCTGATCAAAATATTGAAATGCAAATTGTTAAAACTGATGATAATATTGAGCAGTTAAATGTCCCAATAAATATTAAAGTAAATGCAACTAGTAATCAAAATTTCAATAACAAAGAATATATGGTTTTGCATGGCGAAATGTATAATTTGGGAAACGAGCATTTAAAAGAGATTGAAGAAGAAAAACTTAATGTAAATATGATTTCATCTGCGGAACCAACAACTGATTTGGGAAATATAAAATCACAAATTATCAAAACTGATGATAATAAGGAACAATTAAATGCCCCAATAAACATTGAATTAAATACTACAAGTAATGAGAATTCGAATAATAAAGAATATACTATGGTTTTACATGGAGAAATGTATAACTTGGGAAACGGACATTTAAAAGAGATTGAAGAAGAAAAACTTGATTTAAATATGATTTTATCTGCTGAACCAACAACTGAAGCTGATGAAAAATTACCTAATCCAATTATAGATTTGAGATCATTAGATTTTGTTGAAATTTCGCCAAATAATGAAAATTTAAGCATTTCGGCAGGAAATGATATTTCCCAAGAAAATGTTTCAGATCCATTCATACTTCAAAATCAGAGTGAAACAACAATTTCAATTAAGGAACCAGAATCTTCATTTTATGACACTACTGAGGAAACTAATGAGCTACTCGAAGTACATCCAATTACATTTACAACAGATGCAAATATCGAAGCAACAACAGATTCTTATAAGGCTATGATTTTAGAAATAAGCACAAATGCTGAATCTTTTGATAATATGTTGGAAACTAGTACAATTTTAAATACTGATGACAAAATAGATATATTTACAACTACCTTAACTCCGAATATTAATGAAAAAATTGAAAACAACATAAATGTTGGTATTTTAAAAGGACGGCAGGGAAAATCAAAATTTATTAGTCCTTATGATATTTTTCCTACAATACTTGAAAATCAATTTTACTATAATAAAGAAATTGAACAAAAATTCGATGAACAAAATGGCAATGCTATAAATGAAGAAAATTTCATTAAACAGAATGAAAAACAAGAATATATAACCACCAGTCTTAAAAATAATATTCCTGTTACAATAAAAACAAAAGAAATTTCTAAAGTAATAACAACTCCAATATCTGAAGAAATATTTATTGATGCTACCCCAATGGGTTCAATTGAAAATAATAATATCGATAAAGAATTAAATTATAAAGAAATTACAAAATCTATTGATTCATTTTATATTGATTTAATACCAACTTTAATTGAAAATTATCGTAAAGGTGTTATAAGTTATGAAGAAGAATTAGTTTTATTGAGAATATTTAAAAATATATGGCCTTTAATTACAAACGAAGCTAAACGAAATAAAATGGAACCGATGAATCCAATTATCGAAGAATTATTAAATAGACCTAGAAGTAGAAATGAATTAGATTTTAGTGATTTTAATTATAATTAAAACCATAAATTTTTTCTGTACATACAATCATAATATGATATACATAATAAATTGAAGAAAATATTAAATAACAACTAACTTTTCGAATATTTACTGGATCATTAGTTTTCCCAACCGCTAATTTTAATCAGTTAATTGAAATTTTCCGTATGCAATGAATGGCAACTGTATAGATTCTTGTTTGATTTTTAACTGTTGTGATAGCCTTTATATAAAAGTTATTATAGAAAATAATATTTACAATGGTGTAATATTCTCTGATGCATTTGTCAATATTTCATTTAATTTTCGCTGGTATTCATTATTGTGATTACAATTTTGATATTAATCAGGGTTTTTTTAACATAATTTTTAAATAACTTTTTTCGTAACCATAAATTTATCATTTTAAAACAAACGTTCTAAGACTTAAATATGCTCTCCAATATAGTTTATGTTTATAAATACCTTTTGTAAATTATTCATTTATATTATAATGTGAATAAAAAGACCTTACCTATTTTTATATTGTAAATTTTTCAAATTCATAATATTTTGATCTCTTTTAGTACGACATATTATCCTGCTCTTCTCTCTAATTAAAAGATTTTGCTCAAGGACATAATATGTTCATAACTATAGGTTACACGTATTAGCAAAATTATATAAAATTTCAATGTAAACTTTATAACATATTATTATTTATTTTAGAAAAAAATAAAATTTCTAATTTTATTCCAAATTAAAAATGTATGAAACTTTGAAAATAATACAAAAGTTTTTTTCACATTTACATATTATAATAATTAGACTAATTATTTTGCACTCAAATTTTAAGTCTTAATATAAGATTCAAATGTTAGAGCATTTCTTGAACGCAATCTTCAAAGACTAGACAAAAAATCAAAAAATTTTAATTAAATAATTAAACTAAGTGTATATACACACACTAAGCTATATATGTATTTAGATATGTGTACATAAAATATTTTATAATTAAATTAGAACAATTGACAAAGTCTAATTCAATGATGAAAATTTAATATAGTTTTAAGAAGTTCTGAAATAGAGTGTGCCTATGTTGCAGTGTGACTTACTGATTTCTTACAGACTTACTGATTTTTACTTATGTGAATTTTTATCACTTACATAAATAGGTTTAGTAATTTTTTTTTTTGCCAATATCGGAAAAATTATATGTACGTTCTTCAATGCCGAAAAAGTATTTTATTCAATCTCATATATGTGAGTGACTTTATAAAATTGTGATTTGAAATTGGTATGAAAATATAATTTCAATATTAAGGATTTCAATAAAAATTTCAGAAACAGTTAACAAATTTATTTATACTCTATGATAAGACTCCAATTTTCAACAGTTTCGACTGTAAACTGGTATGAATTTTAAAATGCTCTTAAAATAATGTAAAAAAAAAATTGTTTTTTTTTTTCTTGTATCAATCCTATTTTGTACAAAAACACCTGTAATGAGGTCTAGTTATGATTTTAAGAATTATTATTATTATTATTGTTTTCAAATAGAAAACATATTATGTAGGTTAAAGTCTATACATTAAAATGAAAATAAAAAAAAAACCAAAAACAAAAACCATAACTCCTTTATTTTTTTCCTTTTCTTACCCAGTTTCATTTCAGCGTGAAAATAATTACTTTTTTTTTTGTATTTTTCATGTTTAACTTTTTAATTGGATGGGTTTAACAATATAAAAGTGAGAAAAATGAAATTCTTGTTAGATTTCAAGTATTACAACAATAATTTTTACTTCGTTATTATTTTGAAATATTAAAGAGAAGAGTAAAAATAAAGTACATACTTTATACTCTATAGAATTTTGCTATGGGGAAAAAAGTGCATTGGAACAAATTTAGATCAATTTTTTTCTTTGTTTTTTCGTTGTTGTTTTTTTTTGTATTTTTACTGAAAATAAAATCTTTAAAAATAAAAGTAATAATAATGATGTTTTTTTTTTGGTCTTTGACAATATAAGTAAATGTAACTGAAGATGATTAAATCTTGTACCCAATTTACTTAAAATTATTTGATTTTTGAAAAAAGAATAAATTTTTAGAAAATTATTTTCGAAAATTTTGTAAAGATGAATTATTAAAATCGTCTGCGAAATGACGTATTATTTATATTTGAAATGAAAAGCTTTACTTTAAATAATTAAGGCGAGAAAAATTTAAGGTAGTCAAATATGCTTATCGTCGGCCTAACAGTGATTACACGCGTATCTGATATTTTACCAATTTTGACTTTTTGGTATTAAAATTATCGTTGTGAAAAGACGCATTTTTCTGTATATTCGGTTTAATTTCGTCGAAAAATTTAAAAAAAAAAAAATAGCAAAAATGAGAAAAGGTATCCGAATGCCAAGAAAAATTTGTTGTGAGAAATCGTATCTGCCAAAAATACAATATAAATGTAGTGCCAAGTTCAGTGTCTCTTTAAAAATACTAATTTATATTATAAGGCTTTTTCTATCTCCTGAAAAATGCACTTTTTTCAGATACGTTAAATCACTGTTAGGTCGACGTTATGTTGTTTTAATTTTCTCACTAAACGGTTACTTCGACAGTAGCTAAATTTAGTATTTATGTAAGAAATCATGTAAAGTTCAGAAACTAAAGAATAATAGCGCTTATGTTAGTCGTATGCTGGTCAATTATACTTAATTTTTTTTTCAGTTAAATCTGAAAATTCAGTTTTTTTTATCAAATGTTGTTTACTTTTTAGAATGATTATTTTAGCAGCAAATTAAAAATATTCGACAATTGTAGTACGAAAAAATTTAATAATTTTAAAATTCAAATTCTTTTTTTCCTATATCTCCTACTCCATTGATATCCAAAGACGGAATCGCGGTTATAAGAACGATCTATACAGTATTAATATCAGGAGAAAAATTTAAAAAAAAATTTTTTTCCATGAAATCGTCGCAAATAAAAGAATAGCAAAAAAAAAGTTAAAAAATCTAAACTTTTCCTAAAATGAGAGTGCCTGTCATTTCGAGAGTGCGTTAAATACAGAGTATATAGTATCTTATCATTTCTAAAACATTTTATTGGAAATTTCTTCTTTTCCTTAGAAGAGAAGTTATAAGCAATAAATTTGGTAAGAAATTTTGTGAAATTTTGTTAAGTTCTCGTATCATGATAACATTAATATTTGAAACCTAATTCCAAAAAAGATTCTACCTATTTTGCTCATTATCGCTTATTAATGAATCACTCTGTATAGATTATATAAATATATATCTACATAATGTAATTGGTAGCATTGATGATATTTTGAATTTTAAAAGTCGATTCACCAATTAGAAATCAATTTATTTTCCTGGCCTTGTCTAATAAAAAATACCATATTTAGTGTGTTTAATTAAAAACACACAATTTTGTATCGTAAGTTTAAATTATAATTTATATATGTACGTATATATGCCTGACAACTCATTTACAGAATATTAAATATGATTTGAATTCAATTGTCATTAAATTTAGTTGATATTTAAAATAATTAATTAGAGAAATTATTTTTTTTTTTTTAAATATACAAAATAAAAGTTTGTATTTTATTTTTACATACATACATACATAGATTTCTATTCATATAATATTTGCCTTGTTATAAAAACATATTAACCTATAAAACATTTTCTATTATAAAATTTGAAAAATTGAAAAACAAAACTCTTAATTCTTTTATTTTTTTTTTGGCATACTTTAATTGTTTTGAAGTTAAAAACAGGAGAAAACAAAAGGCTGTAGACTGCATGAAACCTTAACATCAAAACAAAATGAACTTTTTATTCATATACGATATGTATAAGTTGTTTTGTAAACTTTAATAAAGTTAATTTTTATCTTAAATTACAATTTTGTATTAAAGATAAAGAATAAGAACGTATTTGTATGTAAAACTAACAATAACGATCCTTATAATACAGAAAATGTATAAAAAAATAAAAGGGCTTTGCAGTCTATATTTAATAGTGCATTTCCATATAAAATTGTATTTATATAAGCCTTATAGGTCTAAAAGTAAAAATTATCCAGTATGTATTGGTATAATAATTTAATTACAATGTAATTTTGCATACATTCAGGATGATTCTTCGAGTAATAACTTTGAAAAATGTTAAACACATAGCATATACCTTAATACTTTAAAAATAATTTTAGTTAAAACATTATTCGAGCATATTTCAGATTTCAGAAGTTCAGTTTTATCAAGTTTAAGATGTTGAAGAAAATAGTGTTTAGAAGATTAGAAAATAGATTACATAATTTGATTAATAATTAGATGAAAGTAGATTAATCTGAAATGGTAGTATACGGCAGTCTGATATTTGACCTTTTATTTAAAATGAAATAAATTCTTACCCTTTTCCTTTTCTAGAATTTACAAGATGTTTTTTTTTTTTTTTGGTGTAGGTACAGTCTTTTATAATTTTGAGATTAGGAAAATGTCTTCAGTCGAGATGTCTTCACTTACGTCTATTTGTGAATTTCAGCTTTAATTGAAGCAAAAATTTTGAAAACGAAAACTAACAGACGATCAGACAAAATGAAATTAATGTGCGCACATTTTTTTTTAAATTTTTTAGAATAAAAAGTATACCTTAATTGTATATCGCTCGCATTATATTACGTACTTTATGTATCTGTAAAATTATTCTGTTCTATTTTATATACATATGTATGTTTATATGAATATTAACGTTGCACATCTGCATCGTCCTACGGAGGAGTGTATACCTTTTAATATACAAATACGTTAATAATGCTGTAAAACTACAAGGAAACGTAAGAAATACACGCATATTAAGAAAAATTTTCGATTTAATTTAAAATAAAATTTAATTTTAAAATAATGTTGAAAGAAAATTAAGATTCTAGGACTAATTTTTATAGTATGTGCCGTATATTGGGATATACATGTATACAAGTATATTTTATTAGAATTACGTACTCGTATGTTGCTTAATTCTTCAATTCAA